ACGCTAAACCCTAAAACCTAAAACCCTAAACCCTAAACCCTAAACCCTAGGACTTCGGCCCGGTTTCGTGCCTCTTCGGCCCTTCGGCTTGTTGCATTCGGGGACCTGGGAGTTTGAATATAGTGAGGGCTTCAGGGGTTTAGGGTTTAGGGTTTAGGGTTTAGGGTTTAGGGTTTAGGGTTTAGGGTTTAGGGTTCAGGGTTCAGGGTTTAGGGGACCTGGGAGAGGGCTTCAGGGGTTGAGGGGTTGCGGGGCTTTGGGTTTTGTCAGGCTTTCTGAGGGTTTCAGGGTTTCGGTGACCCGAAATCCTTGGTTTTAGGGTTGCGGGCTTACCTGTAGACCAAGAAACCCATGTACTGTTTTCAGAGAGAAAGAGAGAGAAAGAGAGAGAAAGAGAGATCTTTCTATATATATATATGTATGTATGTATGTGTATATATATATATATGTATCAACCATAAGAGGGAACCTTTTGTTAGCTACGTCTGGGTTTGTGTTTGTACTTCGGCCTTGTGGGATTGAGGGCAGAGAGCTGCGGATCGATAGGGTCTAAACCCTATTCTAAGTATTACGGTCCCTACATTACTCTTTTTGCGCTTCTCTCCGAAGATTTCGGCTGGGAGGCCGGCGCATGTGGCCACTGCGAGTACCAGGCCGGTTGGATGCAATTTCGGGGTTCAGGACCACTGGGTTTAGGGTTTAGGGTTTAGGGCTTATAGGATTTATGTTTTCCGGTTTAGGGTTTATAGGGTTTAGGGTTTACAGGGTTTAGGGTTTAGGGTTGGGCTTCGGGTTTAGGGTTTAGGGTTGTTGTGGTTGTACCCGGTCATAGATACCCCAAAACCCGCACCCTAATGCTTAAGATCCCTCTCGTAGGTCTTCGACTTAGAGTTGGTTCACGAGCCTCTCCGTGTTCTTTCGCTTATGGGATTTGGCTTGGTTCCTTCCTTTACGGAGTCCTGCAATGGTGCAGGGATGTTGCCTTCCTGCACTTGTGGCCGGGTGTGCGTAGGGCGAATCGGGTTCCAAGATTCAGAATGTTTTTCGGAAATTGGATGAGGGTTAAGGGATTGATGCCAAGAGTTCTCGCAGAGAGCATTAGAAGCCCCGCACCCCGAAGCATAGACCCTGAACCCTAAATCTAATCCGAAACCCTTGCGATAATTCCCGCGGCGCACCTACACCCTACCCTCCAATAAAGCCCTCGATGCAACCCTATGAAGCATGATTATTTTGAAATCTGGGATGCCGTCTGCCCACAGCCACCACATTGAGGCTCGAGGCTTTGGGTTGAAGGGTCCCTGAACCCGAGGCACCAAACCCCCAAACCCCCAAACCC